AGTCTTGGTTTAAGCCTGGACACCAAGCAATAGAGTGTATGTGTGTGCATGTACGTGTGCATGTGTGCGTGCATGTGTGCGATAGATAAGGGTGGTCACTATGCATTTTAAACACACACACAAAATTGCAATGAATGACAAGGCTTTTTCATGGTTTTATAAAAGATCCTTTTTATTTTCAATGTGTCTAGATAGGTACACCCCTGAAATCACCTTAGAGAGCCCTATTCTTCCTAAGCAGAAAGATTTCTTTTCATAGAGAGCCCCTGGGTGAATTACAAATAAAAAATAAATGAATAAATGAATAAATAAATAAATAAAAGCATTCTTTCTAGATATGGTAATATTGTTTTTAATTCTTATATTAGCATTAAAAATAATAAGTCTATTTCCAAGAAATTAATTTACTAAACAATGTAAGTAAACATGAGAAGATTACAGAGTTACAAACATGTACACTGTTTTTTAAAGGTTTATTTATTTTTGAGAGAGAGAGACAGAAGAAGAGAGAGAGAGACAGAGTTCAAGTGGGGGCGTCAGAGAGAGAGAGAGAGGGAGAGACAGAAACCAAAGGAGACTCCAGGCTCTGAGCTGTCAGCACAGAACTGAACACGGGGTTCGAACCCACGAACTGCAAGATCATGACCTCAGGCAAAGTCAGCCGCTTAACTGACTGAGCCACCCAGGCGCCCCTGTGAACATGTACTCTTGAGAGTGTTGTATTGAAAACAACTCCCCAAAGGAGGAGTCCTCTCTGGAATGGAGATGTGTGTATTTTGCAGCTAAGTTCCTGATAAAAACATCTTTTGAACTTTTCATTTGGGGACACAAAATTTAAATGTGTCACTGCAAAGCCATTGAGACCAGAGCTAAATAAGTCTCTGTGCTGGTGTGGTTGGGGGCAGGAGGGCCAGTCCAGGTTAACTGCGGTAATGAAAATCCCTGAGTCAATGTAAATAATCTTGCTGTTATAAAACACAGATTTAGACCTTTGCTGACATTCTGAATTCTTGAGGATTTCTGAATCTTGCTCAGACCGTGAAATGCTTGTTTAAGAAACTGTTGTGCAAGCATAGACTGCTTAGTATGACCCAGAAGGCCACTAAAATATCTCCTTTACAAAGGACTCTAACTTCTTACACTGTATCTCCCATTTGAAACTGGATTATGACATTTTATCATATGTTTTTTGTTAAAATGTACCTACTCTTGGGAGAGGTACCGTCTACTGTTAACCAGTAATACCTTGCCTTGAATTTATTTTTAGACTACCTTACTAGCCCCGAAGAAGATTTAGGGGGTGGAAAGAGTCTGGCCCGTGGAGTCCTATGTTGGGAGAGGCTTCTGGAACTGGGACATGAAGATAGAGGGCTCCACTCTACCTTCGCGGCCTCTGTCACAAATTCACGCTAACCATCCACGGCTGTTTCCTCAGCCATCAGTGGGAGGTACCCACTTCATTAATTGTGACCTTGACATTAGCTCAGTGGCCTGTATGAACCAACCCTCATGGCAGGAATATTAAACCACTAGAGAATGCTGAAGTGGAGGGACCTGGACAGCTAGAGAAACATTTCAACGTAATCTAGGGCCTCCAAGCCTTTAAGACAGGTAAGAAGGCTAGGGCGCCTGGGTGGCTTAGTCGGTTAAGCGTCCGACTTTCGCTGAGGTCATGATCTCGCGGTTCGTGGGTTCGAGCCCCGCATTGGGCTCTGTGATGACAGCTAGTTCAGAGCCTAGAGCCTGTTTCAGTCTGTGACTCCCTCTCTCTCTGACCCTCCCCTGCTCATGCTGTCTCTCTCTCTCTCTCTCCTAGAAGTAAATAAAACATTAAAAAAAAAAAAAAAGACAGGTAAGAAGGCAGAAAAGGCATATAAAGTTATGTGTGTGCGCACGTGCATCAGGGGGAAATATTCACAATTTTGTCTGGAACTAATTCTGGTGGAGGCTTAACTCTTTGTTTGTTTGTTTTAACTCTTTTTAAAATTGAAGATAATGTGCAGAATGTGAGTCTGAAAGTCTCAAAATTGGGGCACCTGGATGGCTCAGTCAGTTAAGCATCCGTCTCTTAATTTCGGTTCAGGTCATGATCTCACAGTTCATGGGTTCAAGCCCCTCATTAGGCTCTGTGCCAACAGTGAAGAGCCTGCTTAGGATTCTCCATCTTGCTCACTCTGTTCCTCCCCTACAAAATAAATAAATAAACTTAAAAAAAAAAAAAAGAAATCTTAAAAAAGAGAAAATCTCAAAATTGTGAGCAAGTTGAGGTTACAAATCCAGAAGGGTGAGGAAAGACTCTTGTTATCACTTCAGTAATGTGTGTGCTTTCTTAGGACAACGGGGTTCCTTTGAAGGTTTCTGGGGTGAAAAAGGTGTAGGAAAATGATAAATCTTTATTGAGTGCCCACGGCATGCATGGTGTTTTAAAGAGCTAGGTGCATGGAGGTTCGAAAAGAAAAGGAGAAAAATAACCCAATGTTCATTGGCAGATGAATGGATAAACAAAATGTGTATATATAGAAAGGAATATTATTCAGCCTTAAAAAGGAATGATGTTCTGATACATACGTTCTGATATGGTTGAACCCTGAAGATACTGTAAGTGAAATAAGCCCGTCATAAAGGACAAATGTTGTATTTTTCTATTTTATGAGGCAGCCAGAATACTCAAATAAATAGACACAGAAAGTGGAATAGTGGTTGCTAGGGGCTGGGGTTCCGGTGGGGAGGAATGGAGTTACCGTCTAATGGGTACAGAGTTTCCGTTTGTGATGATGGAAAAGTTCTGGAAACGGATAGTCCGACTGTTGCCTCAACGTGAATGTACTTAATGCCTCTGAACTGTACAGTTAAGGTGGTAAATTTTTACTACTGTATTGTGCCACTGATGTGATGTTTGTGTATATATTCACGTTATACATTACTTAATCCATATATGGCTCTGAGCCTATTCACAAGAAAAAAAGTTAAAAAGGAAAAATAAAGTGGTAACTTTTATGCTATGTATAGTTTAACACACACGGGAAAACAAGAAAGATCAACAAGCAAACAAGGAATAGAGAGCCCTTTGGCATCCAGACGTTTGAGATTCCAAAAAGGGAAATTCCTACAGCCACAGGGAAGGGCAGTGCAAAGTGCAAGAGTGGCTCCCAGGGCGTCGCTCAGCTTTGGCTGAGGGACCCAGAACGCACTTGTCATTGGTCCTAACAATTACCCATCTACCTGGCTCCCCTATGAGACCCCCCTCCCACCACGGACTCCAGTTTTATTCTTTCTCTCCAGAACCCAGAGTGCTAGGCACAAAGTGGTATCTCAGTACAGATTTGCGGAATGACTTCGAGAAGAGACGCAGCCCCAGGTGTCCGCGGAGCTGGGAAGCACCTTCGTATTCACATTCCTGGCCAAACTCCTGGGATGCTCTGGGGCAGAGTCGGCAGGAGTCCAAGATCCCAACGGGGGAGTTTACTCCCCCAGGTCTCTGCTAGCCTTCACCCACCAGAGGAGGCCCCGGGATCTTACCGAGCCCTCAGTGAGGGGGCCGAGGGCGAGGCGCCGAGACTTCGCCCCGCGCCCCGCCCCCCTCTCCGTAGTGGAAGGGCCCGCCGCTTCCTCGATTCCTGCGGCCGCACGACCCCAATAATCGCTCCCTGCGGGGCGCGGGGGAGGGGGCTCGTGAGCGCCGAAACCGTCCCAGGGAAAGCACCAGAAACCTGCGGTTCAGGGAAAGGCCTCTGCTGCTGCTCGGCCGTCCCAGAGAAGGAGAGGTGGGGCCCCAAGAAACAAAAACCTTGGCAGTCCGACGCCCAGTGGGAGGGAAGCCCGGCGCCCACTAGCCACACTCGCAACACTCCCGCGGCTTCCCCAGCTCCGCATACGGGCCTGCGCGGCGGCCAGCAGGGCGCGGCGCCGCCGCCAGAGGGCAGCCCTACCCCACGTGGGCACCGCGCGGCCAGACGGGCGCCCGGAGGGCTCAGCGTGCACGCGAGCGGGGCACCCGGGAGGGCCCCCAGCCCGCCTCCCAGAATAGTTTCTCGTCCCTTGTGCCAGCTTGACAGCGTCGTGGTGGATATTTCCCAGCCGGGGCTGAGAGCTGGGAGCATGTGTGGGAGGGAGGCTAGGGGGTAGGGGACGAGGGGGGACAGGGGGCACCTCGAGGGACATGAAACGCACTCTGGGAATTTCACGAGCGCGGAGCTAAAGCCGCGTACACAAGTGTAGCTTAACTAAAGCAAACAAAGCAAGTGACACGTCCAAATGTGGGGCTCGAGTAACGCTCACCCAGATCTCTGTGAACATTGTCCCCGCAGCGTTCCTCCTGGGTTGATCTTCCGCTCTGACCTTCCCTAAATCCTAACACTCATCTCTGAGCGGCCAGAAGATAATTTGCCACGTTTTTCAAACGTTTCCAGGGAAGATCCCTTTAACCCTTTGAGGAGGGAGCTTTGGACAAAGTTCCAAACGGAACGCAAAGTCCATCTCCGTGTCCTCCTTGGCCAGACAAGTTCAGGGTGGTGGAATGGGGGCTGTTAACTGATCATCTAACGTAACTAATGGTCTGCGAGCAAATTCCTCCCCTCCGTTTTATCTTTAGATACTTCGCCTCACACCAATCCTCAGTCTAGTGAAAATAATGGCGTTTATTTAGGTATTGACTGGGTACTTATAAAACCTAAACTTCCTGATGTAAAAGTGAACTCATTGGTAAGGACTCCTGGCTACATCAACAAATCAATGTGATGCCTGATTAATAGTGCTGATTAATGTTGGCTCAGGTTAATGCTGAGCCCATTACAATAATTAAATGGTTCAGCTATTTCTCAAGCGAGAGTCAATGAAGAATAATTTATTTAGAATTTGAGGCGTTCTCATAGATCTTTGAAAGATCTATGATGGACTTTATGGGTCATTTGTAAGTGTAACTGGTGGGTAGCTCTCTCCATGGCAACAAAAACTCGATTTTAAAATAAGTCTTCGGTAGGGGGACAGTTTATTTTTGAGACTCTGTGATGGATAAGGGGAGTAATAAAACGTTGGGAAACGTGAAAAACCTGGTGGATAAAATGATATACACAAAGGCAGCTGATGATTGTTTCTACAGAAAGCCACTGATTTGATTTTTGATTTAGTTTTTGTCAAGTGGTTATTTTAATCAGAAAGCTATTAATTTGGAGGCAGGTAACCGCTTTGAAATAGAAGTGTTTTTAGAAAATGCAAAAATTGAAAAGGTATAGCTATGTGAGTGTGAATTCTACAAGCTCTTGGGATTTTTACACCAGCCACGATCATTTGAGTTGATGACAAAGATGGGAATACTCAAAATAATATTATATTTGAGTTATTTCCACTACCTTGTGACCTGAAAAGGAAAACTGGATTGAACAGAACTTGAATCTTATTTTAAAATATTATTTCGTTTCTTTTTCACCAGTGTCTATTAAAAATATTTAGATTTTCCAAAAACATTTCTGAAGCTGGCTTGAGAGTTTTAATTAATGTAGTTCCTATTAAGCCCGAGTTAAGGTATGTGTATATGTTGGAGTTATTTATTTTGAGATTACTGTGAAGTGTACATTAAAATGTCTCCCTTACTCAGAGCTATAGAGTCCCTTACCCATTATGAAAGAATTTTTCTGAGCTGTTCCGAGGTGCAGGATTTTTTTTTTTACAATGTATTTTGGTTTTCACTAACATTTTCTATTTCTTTTCTGCATTCAGTGATTACTTTCTTTATTCCCACGAAATGTGTCAGATCCTCTCATTAGAGTGGCTTAGTTTAGCTGTCAAGTTTCTAGGGCATTCAATTGCAGATAAGTGACTAAAACACCAGCCTAACCACATTTTTATTAACAGATGGCGGAAAACAAACGTCTTTGGAGAAGAACCGAAGGCGACAGGTTGAAAGGTCAGTAAACAATTATTATTGTGCTTAAACTGGGGGGTTTCTCTACAGATCTGATGGGGGAGCCGCTGGCCCAATGTGGGGGAGATGGAGCAACCCAAGAGATCTCAGAACCATTCCCCTAGGGACCACCTCGGACGACGTGGGGGAGGGGCGTTACCTCCGGGCTGGACGTCTCCTACAGGCCATCTGAGCGGTCAAACTGTCGCGTCACGGGAGTGCTTGTGAGGTTAGGGTTGAGGGCTCAGTGAAGGGAAGGAGCCTGGGAATCCTAACTCGTGCAGCGAGCGGCCCTAGGTCCAGAGCACCGCGGGCCAGCGCGTAATTCGGGTCCCAACCCCTTTGACAAGGCGTACTAAAGAGTGGTGGGGTCCCCTCTCCTCCCCCTATCTTCTCAGTTGCTGCTCCCCTCTACGGGTAAACTTTCTCTCCGGAGCTGGGCTGATTTCCTAGGCTTTCTTTCCCTTCCCTCGGTAGCTCTCTGACGTGCACACCATGTGACAGGCCTCCTGCTATAAGCCGAGGAAAGGTCCGCCCTCTCCTGGACTCAGCCCTCGCCTCGCCGAGCTCGGTCCCTAGACTCTCTCTCGTCCCGCACCCTCCCGGGCGCCCGACACTCTGCCTCGCTCGCCCTGGGCCTCGCCACCCCCTCCTCCCTGGTCGTGCGAGGGCCGCTCCTCAAGGGGAAGGTCAAGTCCCCCCCCCCCCCCCCCCCCCCCCCCCCCCCCGCCTGGGACGGGTGCGCGCGGCGCCCAGCGAGCGCAGACACCGTGCGGCTCTCGCGGCGGCACAGGAGCTACAAAGTCTCGGCGCAAAAAGCCTCCGCGGCTGCCCCGCAGCTCCCGCGCAGCCCCCGCAGCCGCGGAGGCGCCCCCAGCGTGGCGCCCCCGCGCCGGGCCCGCCGCCCGGGACCCGCGCGGCGGCGCGGCGGGAGCCCGGGGCCCGGCGCCCCCATGCGCCGCCTCGCCGCCGCCTCGCCACAGCCATGACCCTGAGCGCGGAGATGTCCGATGCCTCCGGCCTCGCGGAGGAGACAGACATCGACGTGGTAGGGGAGGGCGAGGACGACGACGACGAGGAAGAAGACGACGACGAGGGCAGCGGCGGCGCGTCCCGCCTGGCGCTCCCCGCGCGGCGGCGGCGGCGGCGGCGGCGGCGGCGCTCCTCCGCCGGGGAGGACGAGCTCGAGGACCTGGAGGAGGAGGAGGACGACGACGATGACATCCTGCTGGCCCCGCGCTCAGCGGCCTCCACGGCGCCCCCGGGCCCAGCCCCAGCGGCGGGGGCCGGGGCCGGCGCGGGCGGCGGCGCGGGCGCGGGCGCGGGCGGCGGCGGGACGGCGGGCGGCGGCGCCAAGAACCCGCTGGTGAAGCCGCCCTACTCGTACATCGCGCTCATCACCATGGCCATCCTGCAGAGCCCCAAGAAGCGGCTGACGCTGAGCGAGATCTGCGAGTTCATCAGCGGCCGCTTCCCCTACTACCGGGAGAAGTTCCCCGCCTGGCAGAACAGCATCCGCCACAACCTCTCGCTCAACGACTGCTTCGTCAAGATCCCCCGCGAGCCCGGCAACCCCGGCAAAGGCAACTACTGGACGCTGGACCCCGAGTCCGCCGACATGTTCGACAACGGCAGCTTCCTGCGCCGGAGGAAGCGCTTCAAGCGGCAGCCGCTGCTCCCGCCCAACGCCGCGGCCGCCGAGTCGCTGCTGCTGCGCGGCGCGGGGGGCGCGGCGGGCGCGGGCGACCCCGCGGCGGCCGCGGCGCTCTTCCCGCCCGCGCCGCCGCCGCCCCCGCACGCCTACGGCTACGGCCCCTACGGCTGCGGCTACGGCCTGCAGCTGCCGCCCTACGCGCCGCCCTCGGCCCTCTTCGCCGCCGCCGCGGCCGCCGCGGCCGCCGCCGCCTTCCACCCGCACTCGCCCCCGCCGCCCCCGCCGCCCCCGCCGCCGCACGGCGCGGCCGCCGAGCTGGCCCGGACCGCCTTCGGCTACCGGCCGCACCCGCTCGGCGCCGCCCTGCCCGCCCCCCTGCAGGCCTCGGCCGCCAAGGCCGGCGGCCCGGGCGCCTCGGCGCTGGCGCGCTCGCCCTTCTCCATCGAGAGCATCATCGGAGGCAGCCTGGGCCCGGCCGCCGCCGCCGCCGCCGCCGCGCAAGCAGCCGTCGCCGTGCAGGCCTCGCCCTCCCCGTCTCCGGGGACGCCGTCCGCGCCCGCGCCCGCGCCGGGATCCGGCGGCGGCGGCGGCGGCGGCTGCGCGGCGCAGGCGGCCGTGGGCCCGGCAGCCGCGCTCACTCGCTCCCTCGTGGCCGCCGCGGCCGCCGCCGCCTCCTCGGTCTCCTCGTCCGCCGCCCTGGGGACTCTGCACCAAGGGACTGCCCTGTCCAGTGTGGAGAACTTTACTGCTAGGATTTCAAATTGTTAATAACGCTATGTTAGCGCGCTTGGGAAAGAGAAGGTAGGAATCCCGGCTGCTTCTTTTTTCTCCCCATCTTTGCTGGTTGGGTGTTTGGTACGCTTCTCCCGGCGCGGCCCCTCCCGACCTCGCACCCCCGTTTTCGCCGCTTGGGACTCTCGACAAGACTGAGTTTGGCAGCAGCGGGGGCGCGCTTTTTGGCTCTGCAGGTCCCTCTATTTATGCAAAGTCGCCCTCGGTTGCAGGCCCCGACCGGGGGTGCGGAGGAAGAGGGTACTGGTGTGGGCTCTCTCTTGGCCTAGGCACAAGGGGCTTCCTTGACTTGTGGGAAATGTGGTAGCGGTGGTGGAGTTTTAAAATCTAAGCCTTTTTGAGGTCTAGAGATTCTCAGGTCCAGGCGTTAAAAATACCAGTAATGTTCAAAAGAATGATACACAAATAGTAAAGGTCCTGAAGAGTGCCAGCGAAGCAATAGTTTTTATTTTGAGGACACTTGTCTGGTGTACTTTTTCATGAAAAAGGAAAAAATGATTAACATGTTTACACAAGGAGAAAAAAGTCAAAATTATCATTTCTTATTTTAACCTGTGTTTTGTATCATAATAGACTTGCGGAATTTTTATTTTGTACTTACTGCGTATTCTTTACAAGGAGTATTGTAAATTTTACTGGCAATTATTGTACTATTCTAATGTAAGATTTTTACACTTTTTCAGAAATAAAATGCTTAATTTTCAAAGAAAATCCACCAAAAATTGGCTTCAGTCGTCCCCTTCTTAGTTTCTTTTCTGTTAAGAAAATTTCTATGGGAGTTAAACAGGAACCCAATATAGAATAGGACATTTTATTTTCAAAGAGAATTAAACAAAAGCGTCATGCCATGATTTTTCAGTTATACTTTCTAGGTCAAAGCCATTGCAAGAAACCAGAAACTACTTCTAAATGGTTACAAATTGAAGAAGTTACTTTAGTATACGTTTTCAAATCTCATTCTATTCCATTTTGAAGACCATTGAGGCTAGTTAAAGTTAACACTAGTTAACCTAGGTAATTTTTATGAGACTTTTAATTTTATTAGTGAGCTTCCCACTTCATTTGATTTCCACTCGCTTTTGAGCACAATATTGTATTTATCTGTAAAAACTGCAACGCAACATTATATTGTAATGAAAGCAACAGAAGCAAATAGGCAATTTTTGGTTTAAAATTCTTACAGAATGATCAACACTCAAACAGCTTTGAAGTCCTGAATAATATTTACATATATAAAATAAATTGTATTTGAAAGCTCTAGTTCTCTTGACAGAAGGGATTCCACGAATTGAATAAAGAAGTTTTTATTCTAAAAAGCAAACTTAACAGTAGAATTCTAATTTGAGTAATTTAAGGTATGTAAGAGAAATCTTCAATTTTAGGGTAGTGTACACTTTAAGAATAAAAATGAAAATGTATCAGGTGTTTATTGAAATATTTATACAATTTTCATGATTTAGGCTATCAGTTTTCAAATTTTAAGTGTTTTCATTAACTACTTATTGCAGGCAATTTCTAGTTCCTTGAAAAAATGTGAGTCTCTAGTTTTATGACTATAGAAGTTATTGTGGGCTCCAAATATAACCAAAGCATATGTAGTATGTCATTTAAATGCTCAATATTAGTAAGTTGCAGAGGAGGTTAACTATGTTTATTAAATTATTTTTCAGAAAAATCTGGACAGGTATATACCTGAGGATATATACCTACCCAGTCAAGTTAACAAAGACTGGCTCATAATAGGCCAATATTTTTGCAGTGACATTTACTCTTGATGTCCTGTCCTCTGACTCCTTTGTAGGGAGGAAAAAACAGACTCTCACAGCTTCAAAAACTGAGTTCTGGGTTTTTTTTTTCCCCCTATCAAATATTTGGAATAGATTAAATAAGAGTTTAAACGTACCCTCGAAGTTTACCACTAAGTGTATAGATACAGATTGAAATATTAGACCAAAATCTTATATGCAAAAGTTACGTTTACCCTAGCACGGCTAAAGAGAACGGAGACTTTGGAACCGAGAACGTCCAGATGTCACAGCTGCCCGGGGTGGAGAGGAGTTAGCAGGCGGAACCCGAACGGCACAGGCACCGCTCGCCTGCCTCGCAGCTTTCTGTAAGTCACAGATCTGAAACTTAGAGCTGAGAGTCATTATGAGGAGAGAGTGAAGGAACAAGGCCCTGGGTATTGATAGTATTTGCATGAGACTTGGACGCCCTGAACGCAGGGAATCCCAGCTACTCCTGCTGTCTGTTCAAATTCCCGCATCTTTAAAAAGAGCCAGGACGGACTCTCCCCTCCATCCCCTCCACCCCGCAACCCCCTCCCAGGTTGTCCGTGCTTTTAAGAGAATGGCGAGAAGGCACTGTGCAGTTCGGCGCTGGCCTCCTTTGGGGTCTGGAGGTGAGGCCCCGCATCACCCGCGCCAGCTAGAGAGACCGCAAGCCCGAGGAAAAAGTAAGCGCAACCGGCCTGCTCACTCTCGCGTTTTGCCTCAGCACCCTCCGGGTTTGGGGGTCCGCAGTAGGCGTTGCTGGCCGGACGGTGGACGAGACCGTGGGGAGCCAAGGCGGCGAGCCAGGCAGGGAGCGAGCGGTGGCGGACTACCGGGCGGCCGGGAACGCGGGGCTCGCCCCGTTGGCTGAGCGGGCGAGCAGGTGCTGGAACAAAGGCCGCGGGGCTGCCCGGCTACCGAGGCCTTTGATGGGCAAGGACGTCTCCTCCCGGGGCTCCTCATTCGCATGCAAATCCAGCTCTGGTCCTCTTTTCTTTGAAGGCAAACAGAAGGATGTTTGTGTGTTTGTAAGGACGTAGCTTGCTTGAACAAGCCTTCCTCAATAGGCTGGGTCTCGAAAAATAAACCAGTTGGACAAACATTGGCCACCAGCTCTCCTCCTCCCAACTACAAAGTGTGGATTTGCTACAACTCATTAACCCGACGCTTTTCTCCCCTTCGCCTTGTGTCTCTGCTCATCAAACGCCCCCGTAGAGCCTGGAGACAAATGACCGAAGCGCAGTCGGGAGGGAATTGCAGTTAATAGGGAGAGGGATATATTGGGGCTAATGGCTCAGGCAGCTCCCGGAGAAGGACCACACAAAAAGGAGCCTCTCCATTCAGGGCTCTGTTGTGCTGCAGAGATTTAATCTGCAGCTAGATTTAGCCAAATGTTATCTATTGCCGGGGTAATGAAGCCCTTATGGATTGAATTGCTCCTTGTACCACACATGATGTCATGACCTTAGATCGTTTCTTGGTTGATTTCTTTTTTCTCTCTTGGGTAATTATTTTATTTCTTTAAAATAAGAAGCCAGCGCTTCTGCTCAACATGTTTCCTCTCTGTCCCCATCCTGTGCATTTATTTAAGAGCCACTTCCTTTCCTCTAATTAAAAGAAAAGAAAAAGAAACTGGGTAGGGGAAGGAAAAATGATGAGACCCTTTCCCATTTTCTCTCACTGAGGCATCTGGACGCTTGCTCAGCTCCCCTTCCCTGTCCCCTACTCAGTGGGCCTTTCCTGCCCAAAGTTTCTGCTGGTGGAACTGGATTTGGAGTATATTTACTATCAAAATTCTTACAGTGAATGTAATAAGCATCCATCTGGGGAAAAGCTTCTGCCTTTCAGGGTTTTTTTTTTTTTCCTTGAAAGCTCACCATTTCTTCCTGTCCTCTGTCCTCTGAGAGAGCTGGGGGAGGTGTTTTTTTCTGATGGAAGGTGATTATTTTGATGGACTACCAGCCCGTGTCATTTATTAAAGGCTGTCTGAGGCCAGCGGCTCTGCCTGTTTTGTTTTTCTCTCTCTGGCCCTGGTGGCTCTGATTTCCTTGCTTGACGGAAGACCAAGCTTGGAGCAGCTAACTGTGTTATTATAAGTGCTATAGATGGGTAGGGATCAGATCTTAGTACCCAGAGCCAGGAATTAAGGACTCTAGTTTAGTTTAAAAATTTTCTGCTGGCTACACATTTTGCTCACACTTATTTTTATTACTGACTGAGAAAAGTCGTGCGGGGACAACTTTAAGTTCCTATCTCCATCCAACTCAATCCAAATCAGAAATCTGCACAGCAGTCAGTCTGGTCCCTCTGGGCTCCTCCAGGGGGATAACCACAGGAAACATGGGCGTGCCAGGGGTCCTCTGCCCCCCTGTAGAACTGAACCAGACCGGGAGCTGGGCTGGGAAGCAGAGGACAAGTAAAGTGGGCCTGGCTTTGTCAGCATCCATCCCTGTCTCTCCCCGTTTCCTGGTGTTGAAGCTGGGACACACACACACACACGCACACACGCACGCACGCACGCTCATTGCCCATCAGCTGCCACTTGCCTCCCTTCTCCCCTATGATTTTGTAATTAGGCATATGCTTTTTGTTGGTAAATGTGTTTGATGTCACGGCCAGTGAAATGTGGACTGTTTATAGGGCCACGAATGTAAATGTGTAAATATGTTTAGTGTAAAATCTGGCCCTTCGACTTTAGCAATAAATACCCTGCCAATTTGGATACGATTACATTTGACAGAAAGATGGAGAATCTGATCATGACCAGCTGCTCATGGCTCTTTGGGACTTGTACTTTCCCAACTGAATTCACTTTTCAGATAATTTCTTTGCATGTCACATCCCTCTAATCACAGCTTTCTCTTGACATGAACAGCTTGGGCTCTTTCTATTGTCGACCGCTCTGGCATGCAGGGAAACTTCCTGGTTCATTCCTCCTGCTTCTTTACTAGGAAAACACTATTCAGTAACAAGTAAACACAAACAGAAAATAACTGATTATTATCATCGATCCCCTTTTTGAGGTCTGAGCCTCCAGGTGTGATAAGATGGCTCTCTATAGAAATGAGATAAACCCTATGAGTTCCTGACCCACACTTGTACTTTCCTTCTCTTTATCATCATCATCCTGACTTAAAAGCTGTTTTGAGCTATTTTAAGTTTTAAAAACTAACATTTTAGGAAGTACACTATACGTACAGAAAAGTGCACAAATCTCCGTGACTTTTCAAAGGTGAACACACCCTTGCCACCAGCATCAGATCAAGCAGCAGATGCTACCAGTTTCCTAGGAACCACCCAGTTCTTCCAGTCACTACCCTCCCCACACAGTAGCTTTTAAAAAGGATTCTTATTAACATTTCTCTCAACCACACTGAAATAGTGAGGACAAGAATTGTTACTGATCCCATTTCCAAATAAAGATGTTAAGATCGAAAAGATATGAAATGACTTGCCCAAGGTCACAGCTACCAGGACTTCAGTATTTAAACCCCATTTTATGTCCTTCACATCACACTGCCACTTGGTGGCCGGCACTGTGATTTATTAAACACCCACTGTGGCAGGGCAATTGCCTTAGAGGTCATTGTGCAGAAGAACCATTTGTTTCTTATTCACTTTTTGCTTCCTTGCTAGATCCTCCTCCCTGCTTCCTCTACTCCACTTCATATAAATACATTTGCAGTCTCTGGTCAGTTATTTCAGATATGTCAGCTTCCTCTACCTAGTGCCACACAATACCCCTCTAACATCACTCTTCCAATCTTTTGTGCATCAGCAATCTCCTTTAAAATATCACACACACACACACGTGTCACCTTTTCATCTTTGTACTATTTGCCCATTTCCTCTTCCTTTCTCCCTAATTTTTAATGGTTGAAATCTGCCACACTGACAGAAATTTTGCTAAGCAAGTCTTTATAACCAGATTGAAGGTCCTATTATCTCCAAGTGGAAAAAGGAAGAATATGTAAGAGTCAGATCAACTGATTTAACATTTAATGTGAAAGAAAATCACTTTTCATAAAATGTACCCACTCTTCTCTGTCCAGACACACTCTTGAAGATTTTTCTGTTTTTAAACAGCTGTGTATGATGTGGACTAAGTGGATCCTTTTAGCTCTTGCACAATTAATCCACTGCATTGGAGCCTACTGAGGGACAATCCCACCTGGAACTCAGAACTGCGTGGTCAGGGGTTTTCCTAAAATGCTTTTGGGGGGAGGAAATTCTAGACCACCTGCCAGAATCACATCTTTTTCTTGATGTGAAAGCATCCTTGCCCATTGCCACCAGAAGCATTATTTTATTAGAGCCTAGTCTCCTCGGGCAGTTGCTGGGGCCAGTGCTTTGTCCCCTATGAGAACATCCAAGCTGGAATCAGTGCAAGGATTGTACCTGACTAACCACGAGCTGCAGACGGCAGAGGAAAGTGTATATAGTTATCTTTTCAAGGAACAGTGCTTAATGCAAGGTAACATTGATCTTCTAGAGAAAGAGGGGTTTTGTAGAACACCCAGAAACATTTCTTCTTTTAGATTTTATGCTGTAAAAGACAAAAAAACCCCATTTCAGGAAGAAAAGCAGCCGGTTAATATCAGAAACTATATTTAGAGAACCTGGAAAGTTCTGATTCTGTATTTGAAATCAGGAGACAGTCTGGGAGGTTATTTTTCTACTGTTGTTTTTTAAGAATTACTTGATTTTTCAATGGGGTGTTTCCCTGTATTTAGGATCTTACAGTTAAAAGAGAATCTATCTAATGCATTAAAAAGAATGCAAACTATATATGGAATGTGTTCATAGGCTCAGTGCGTCTGTTGAGTACCAGCGGAGCTTCTGGGCAGGCCCAAGGTGGTGGATCAGAGGCCCTGGGGCAGCTCTGGGGCTGGCCCTCTCTGTCCCAGAGGGAGTCAGGCACAAATTGAGGGTTCTCTCTTATTTGCAACTACTGATTAATAACAGACTAGTAAAGACAAAGCAGTGGCACATATTAGTTATGGCTGAAAGCAGAAGGCTCTGTGCACACTTGCGTAGAATTCCCATTCATATAAGTAAAAGGCAGAGATTTTCAGCAATAAAAGGACACAACACATTTCCTGAAATGTCAACAATGAAGTATAATTATGAATGAAAAACAACTTGGTCCTCTATTTCTGTTTTTTACCATTTTAATGCAAAGCTTCATGTTTATGAAAATGACCATAAGATCATGTTTTTAATGATTGACTCTGGAGAGGGGGGAAAAAGGAAGCACAAACCAAAAACTTCTCCAAAGCCCACGACAGAATAAATAAGACTAATTTGAAATTAAATGTTAGATCAGTTTTTACACTCATTT